CGCCCGAGTCCACCACGCGTGATGAAAGTTCAGCAGGTCCGAGCTCGCATGCTGTTCAACAAACTATAAACACGCATGAAGGCAATTAGCCTTAATTGTCATTGTATGTTTGCAGTAATGATCGTGTCCTATAAATACTGCAAACTCCTGCGCATAAGCTTCCCATATCTGCTACTGCTATCTGAATATGTCTCTAAGCACGAATTCGCGACCGATGTCGAAACGTCAGGCGAATAAAAGTATTGTTCCAGCGATCAAGTCAGCTTATTCTCGATGTAATACCCGTCTAAGTGGCATCAGAGTCCTCTTTCCATTCGGGAGTTGGCCTGAAATTAATGTGGGATAAGCCGCAGCAGCAATTCTGAATGCAGTTCAAATAGGAAACCGACTGGAATATACCGTAGGTAGAATAAAGAGGGATACTCACGCGCAGAAGATATTGAATCTTTGTATCCCCCACCTCAAAGTTTTGATCCAGACCCTCCGGTAGTTTCATTTCCATAAGGAAACCAGCCCTTCGGGTGTTTGCCGGCATCTTTGTTCGATCGTCGAGGTTTGGATTCACTCTACCTAGGCTGGGACTGTCCCCATTGGGTGAGAACTTCGCCGTAAAGGTGGAAGCGAATTGCTTGCGAAAATCTTTTTCAACTGAAACCTTCTTTGATTTGCCAATAAGTACACGACCAGATGCATCTTTCGAATTTTCATCATCCGGATTGACAGTCATTCCAAGCTCTGGCAGATTAGTAAGCTGGAAGACTTCAAAATATCCAGAACGAATAGCCTTTGATTCGTTAGCGTACACAGACACGCGAATCGTGTCCGGCGATTGGAGATGGGTCTTTTCAACCTGTTAAAACAGAAAATACAACAATGCATTTAAAGGTAACATTCCAGGAAACATAAAATTGGAAATATGGAACTGAGATCATGGGTTATTAGTTGATAGAAACTATGTAGGCCCCTGTTTTCTCTGTGGTTTAACTTAAACAAGTTTTAATTTCCGTATTGTTGTTATCAGGTTGGCTTATTCTGAC